ACCCCCCCCCCCCCATGTCCGAGTTTGTCCTGATTTTCCAAACCCCCCTCCCCCTTCGGCTCGGACATCCTTTGTGAATGGCCCCTAAGCCAAATATTTATTGGTGGATGGCGAAGGATATTTTTCTCAACATGTGGATTGGTTAAAATCAAATTATGACCACCTTCATTTATGCAGGATAGCTCTAAATATTCTAAACCGTTTTCCTAAATAATATATCCATTTAGGGATGCCGGAATAATAAAAAGGCAAGGGGGGCAAACGCACACCAAAGGGCACCTCTAGATATAAACCTACAATATGTGTTGACTTGACAATATATGAAAGCAAGCGCAATTAATCAGGTCACATTCAAGATCACACCTCATGATTTTGCCCAAAAAGCATCACTGGAAATGTGATTTATCAGGTAGTATCTCATGACTCAAAGGGCACTTCTGCCCCCCTTTGCCCCTCCTAGCAAAAGGCAGGAGGGGCAACTGCCCCATATGTGTTCAGTGTCAAAAAAGGGTATTACGGGGGACACTTCTTCATCTAATCTCAATCTTCATCTGATCGCCATAGAAAGTTAGTTTGTAGCTAATAGTCAGCAATATAAATTGTATTTATTTAATTTGGTCTTAACGACCTGTAATTTTATCTTCAGGTTCCATTGGTTCACAAAGATTCTTTGAAGGGCAACCATGCGGTAGCAGGAACTGAAGAAGCAATGGATAGATACAACATAGTGAGCGAGAAAAGAAGATAACGAGAAAAACTATTGTTCCTGTAGTATTTTATGTTGTTCAATTTTGTGTTTTTTAGTCCTCCCTTTAAGAATTTCACATATGATTTCACATGTGAAACACTCTCTCCTTCGCAGAGCCTCCTGAATAAAAGTGAGCGCGCAGTGTGATGGGAAGATTGAAATAAAGTCGAGAAGGCTTTGCCACATAATGCAACGACGTATGGTTTTTGAATCAAACCAGCTATTTGACCTTTTCTTAAACTTGAAATCGACGGAAATGTGGAAGAAATTGAAATAAATCTTCATAATCTGAGTATCGAAGTTCAGCAGAGTCACTCCTATTAGTCCTATAAAGAAATGTTGCAATTTAGAGGATATTTATAGTTAGATACCTTATATTCATTTGCAATTTCTCAATATATTTTTCGGTGCAAATGGATGAAGAAGATATTGACATTGGATTCATTCCAGGAGATTCAAGTACGCCTGAAAAGGAAAGTGGAAAACATGTTTTAACACCCTCGAAGGTTGATATCGAACCGAACTCCAAACGATTATATACGATGCCATATTGATTGCATATTTAACTAGCAGAAGCTTCCTTTATTTCGCTCTTCCCATTACTCCTTGCGTTCACTTTTCCTTCACTAGAAACTTCATGTAAGCCTCTGCGGAGGAAAGAGTGTGAAACATGCGAAGTGTTCCAATTCCACAAAAGAAATAATTATTTCACATGTGAAATTAATTTTCAATTATTATAAACCTTTACCTCACATGTAAAACTTATATTTCAAAGTATGTGAAACTCAATTCATATGTAAAATTCTAAATTTCACTTACGAAATGACTGAACATTTTCACATGTACAATGTTCCAGCAAAGCACATAAAACGGTTTATATGTATAAAATGATAATTATGTGAATTTTCCCAAGGGCTATCTTACTTTCACGTCCTTTACTATGTCTGTGCTATAAATATGAAATCTTGCGTTGAATCTGAAATTTCTTTGTTCTAGAACTCACGCAGTCCACGAAATTCAAATGAAGAAGATATCATAATGAAAAACTCAGATGAGGTTAGGAAAAAAGAACTGGGTATAATAGGCTCACGATTGGAAGCTAGTCATGCACCTAATACAAGTGGCCACCCAATACATGGTCATTAAACATGCCTCATGGGTGTGGTCAAAGACCTTTTTGACCAACAAAACATACCATCCCTTAGATAAAGAGTGGTCTCCCGAAGCAGGCATAAATAACATTAAAAAAGGCATTAATAATTCATGAGGAAACGACAAAGGAAATCACTAGCGTGTTGGTAATTTTAGGAGTTATAAAAGATATAAATAATATAATTTATATAAAATTTAGCTTTGATTTTCTCGGCTTAGATAATGTTTAATTTTAAAATTATTTGGCCAATGAACTCTTTAGAT